CATTCCAACTTTAGGAACAATGCATATCGCCATACAAGCTATATTGACCCCCACGTACCCCAGGCATGGGTGATGGGTATATCACTCTCAAACACAATCGTGGGTCGGTCACCTTTGGTCCTTATTATCTGTCTATTTCAAGGATAATGATCGATCGACACTCGGATGATCGGAATCCAAGCAAGTGGCTGTGGGTGTATCTTCTTGATGCTTAGAACATTCTGTACTGCCAAAAATAACCCAACTCGATCAAAAAAAACATATGAAAAATGGTTATTTTCTCTTGTTTGACGATGGTGGTGTAGTTTGTGTCATGATAAGTTCAACAAAATGCATAGATTATCTCAAAAGAATCTTTGTAACTGATCAACCACCTTCTTCTGCTAAGATTTTCCATTTCTCTCATAGGTCTGTATCAGGATTCTTGTGGTGTAATCCGTCCAATTAGTCTAGGTTTTTTTATTATGCTGTAGTATCATTATCCATCCAACCATTAAGATTAGTCAAGTCTCTAGATTAGGTCTAAATAATATTGTTCTTCTCGTTTTTTAGAAAGTAAGTCTCAAAATGGCTTTCAACATCTTTCATTCTCCAAAACAATTCTCTCAAAGCATTGTCATCAAGATGTCAAGTCCTTGATTCAAATGTATTACAATGTTAAACGCTGTAATAAGTACTACTCGTGAATAAAACATAAAACACTGTACCTTTGACTTTGAGTTTTAGCTGTTTGATGTTGAAGAAATTTCACACCAATTCATTTTTTTCAGATAAACCTTTTCTAATCACTTAGAACCATAACCATTTTGATAATCAATACGTACGCTATTGATTCATTCCGAACTCTACGTGTACGAGATATCTTTTTGATTTGTGAAAAATGTGACTTCTTAGTTTAACAATAACACTTCAAACTTACATGATGTGTTACATTTGTTTTTTTTGTTTTTTTTTTGGTAAGTAACACATTTTACGTTCAGAATTCTTCAAATCTGTGTTTTTCATCCAACACAAAATAAGTCTAAAATGGGACGATGGATTTCTAAAATAAAAAATAAATAAATTGGAAATGAAAAGGTGGGAATCCCAAAAGAGATAAGGAATGAAAAAGCAAAAGGAAAGAGGCAACATAATGACAGGGGGTCAAAATTGAAGGGAATGGAGGAGGGTGTGGGGAATAGGGGATGAATGATGGACTTGTTCATATATGATTGAAAAGGAAGTGTGTGGTTGTCATTAGATATAAGTAAATATGGATTGCTGCTTCGTTGGAATTAGCTTTAGAATCAACACAAAGAGAGACACTTTTTGCCTATGGATGATCATATAAAACTTTTATCATTCGATACAAGATATAGACCAAATTGATGCAAACATATGTGAACTCGGGGCGGAGTCAAATATTTTGTTCAAAGTGGACACTTTATTACGTATTTTAATTTTTTTTCTTCTTAACCAATCACGTTATATAATATATTTATATTTATTATATCACATTTGATACGTGAAATCCATTTAACATAAAAAAAAAAAAACCAAAAAATAATGCATATTATATATGTACAAAAATGACTAATTATCACCATTGTAAAAAATGGAATTAATTGTCATTTTTGTAATTAAAAAATATCAATTATTTACTAACAATCTATTAAATTTATTAAATAAATGATGTTCCAAAAACACTGACGTATTAACATAGTAAAACTATTTAACTAAAATTTAAGTGTTAAACATAGTAAAAAAATTTTAAAATTAATTGACACATAAAAAAGATTATAATCAATACTCAAATAAAAATAGAGACAATTTTTTTATTAAAAAAAAAGTTAAATGAAGGTCAATTGAAGGAACTTTCACTTGTAAAAATTCATAAATAATAAAATTAAGGTCATATGGAGAAAACATTAATAAAATAAAAAATTTACCTCATTGTTCTATTTGCCTTTATCTATTTAATTACAAATATTGTAGAAAAATTTAAAACTTCATACCATACTCATAAAAAATTGAGAAGATATGATACATCATGATCAACTGATAACTCAATTGGTTAAAAAATTGGATCGATACCAAATTTTAACAATTTGGGATCCATCCCAAGTTTTGGGGATCAATCATGACTCAATTCCATTGAGTTGCAACTCGATCTATTTGAATTACAACTTAAAGTGATTAAATTTTAATTTTTTGTACGATATTTAAATTTTAACAATATTAGCCCAAAATTTATATTTTTTTATGTGGCCTTGGTTTTTTAAATTTTTTTGGGTAGTAGTGGTGGGCCTAACATTTTTGTCTTTAGTTTTAGGTGTGCACAAGTGATATATTGATATAAATATATAATATATATAGTTAGGTAATTAAAAAAAATAAAAATTGAGGGGTCACTCGCCCACCCTGAACTATGCATCCCTCCGAACATGTGTGAACTTGAGGCCAATGTGTTTTATTAACTAAAACATGGTCAACATTATTTATACTTACAAGAGGTCGGGTCGTTGTCCACATTTTTATGAATTATAAAGTGTAAACAGACACAATTCATGAATAGAAACTTAAGAGAAATCATGTCTTGTAATGCATAAGTGCGAAAAAAATGAAATAAAAAAATAATCTTGCATATTACTGAAGTTCTTGATATGTATAGATATACTTAATCTAGATCATGCCTTATCTGGTTGGTGAGAAATCATCGTTTCCAAGTCAACCGTTGAATATGAAAAGCCGGTTGTGGCACCCACCCTCGTAATATTCTCTTGTCTTGTGTCCTAAAGAAGTCCAGTCCTTGCTTATGAAAAGCCCAATATTTGACTTAACAAGACATGGTCTCGTTCGGCCCATCATCAAGTCTAGAGACCTCAGCCCCAAACGCTCGCCAATCTTCCATCCACAAGATTTTTAAAAACGAAATTTAGAAGTCAATTTCTTTATATGAATTTTTTTTTGTCGTAAATTCGTTAAAAAAACTTATTTGTTATGAAACCTATTTTTTATCAATTTTATTAGACTATCCCATTCTTTTAGAAAGTGAAATAAAACTAAAAATTAAAAACTCCTAAATTTTAGGAGTTTGATTAACATAAAAAAAATTTCTCTCTCATATTTATTTATATCTATATATAGGTTGAGATTATATTTTTCTCATATATATATATATATATATATATATATATATATATAACATTCAAATACAAAAAAAATTATCATTTAAACATAAAAAATAATATCATTTAAATACAAAAAAATAGTAAGATTTAAACATTCAATATTAATATTTAAAAAAAAATTACAATAATTCATGTTCAACAAAAATAATAACATGTTAAACAAAAACAGTAACATGCTTAACAAAAACAGTAACACGCTCAATAAAAAAAAATTAGCAATATGGAACATTGAACATAATTGAAAATAAAAATAGTAGCATTTAAATCCATAACCAGAGAAAGAAGCCTTCAATTCTTCAGCATCTAAAAAAATAATAACATGATCTATAAAAAACATAGTAACATGAAACATTGAACAATTCTGGGGATTATTTATTAAAAAAATAAAAATAAAATTGAGGATCAAACTACTAACACATTAAGCAAGTTTTTTAACTTTTTTTTCGAAAATCAACGACATAAAAATTTATAATTATCAGAACACAGTAGAAGATATGGTAGTTGTTGATGATGTTTCAAACCCTACTGATTTTAATGCTATGAAGGAAGAAATGATATCTAAGGAGAAAAATTTATTGTACTTAAGTGATGATCTTCTTCTAACGAGAGAGAATATAAATTTGAATTTTAATTTAAGAGTGAATTAAGGGATAATAATTTATAATTTAAGAAATTAATTTAAAATTATTTTCAAGGTTTTTATAATTGAACATAATAACACTGTTAAGGGTATTTTTGAAATTTTAAAAAATAGTGGATTTAAGTACATATTAGTAAGATAAAAAATAAATTTATAATCAAATAAATTTTCTTTATAGATAAAAGTCATTATAAGTCAATTAAGAAGGATTCAGCCCCAATTTTTTTTTTTAAATTATTATTATTAGTTTTTTAAAAAAATTTATGAAGTAATAAAGCACCGATTAAGTTTAGGTGAGAGAAATAAGCGTGGAGAAGAAAAAAAAAATTAAAAAGTAAATAAAAGCACAACTTTAAGGTTTTCATAGGGCACTCTCAATTTTTGTATGACTGTGAGAGTGTAATATAAAAAAAATAATCATTAAGAGTCCAAATTAAAAACTTTAAAATTTTTCAAACTGCAAATTACGATTAAAAATAATAAGTAGTCTATAATATCGAAAAAAAACTCTGGTATTGTACCATCATTTACAAATTTTTTGAGTTTTTTTATCACTTTTATGGTGATTATTTTTATCACTTTTTGTATTACTTATAATCGATTCTAACATTAAATTATTCATATAAATTATAATTTTTTTTATTATAAAAATATAAATTAAAGAAACACTAGTCATAATCAGTGCATGAAGATACGATAAAATATAAAATTCGAACGTCCAAAAAATCGATCCTACTATATTAATTTTTTTAAAATATATTAACTAAAAATTAATTAAATATTAAATGATTAAATATATAATAGAAATGAGTGGTGTGATATTTTTAGGGAGAAAATATATAAATGATTAAATATGTGATAGAAGTGAGTGATGTGATTTGATGTTTGACTCTGATTAAAAGAATGATGGGTGAAATAAGTGATTGATAATAATTTTGAAGAAAAAAATACGATTGAAATAAAATTCGAATGTACTTCTATCTTATTATATATAATATCTTGTTTTATTATAGAGTGAGTCAAATGTGACAATTCAAACAGCACGCGCGAGCCATCATATCATACCAAACAAACAACAGTTAATCGCAGAGAATCCGATACACCACCCACCCGTCAACACGACTTTGGGGGCTTGAGTCCTCCTCCCCAACACACACACACACACACACAAACCAATTAAATCATTAACCACATTCGACTCTCCGTTTACAATAACAAGTAAACAACTCTCTCTCTCTGTCTCTGTCCGCGCGTGTGGCTTTGGGAGTTTGTAGAATTTGAAGTTTGAATTCCGCTTTCAGAATCGCTTTTGCTTTCTTTCTAATTCATTTGCCGCTCTTCTCTCACTTTCTTCCGCAGATTATGTAAAATATAAACAATAATTATATTTTAGACTCTTCTTCAAAATATTATTATAGCGATCAGTTGCCCACCCCTGTCTGTGCCTCTCCTGTTTTGTCTCATCTGTGTTGTGTTTGTGTGTATACCTTCTGTTTCATTCTGGTCTGCTTGTGTACACACTTACTTTCTTCCATTGTTGCTCTCAACCCACATATCTTGGAATTTCAGGTACTTTCTTTTCTTTTCTTGCTTTTTTCGAATTATTTTCTTCTTGCTTCTTTTTGTAAGGTAACTTATTTGTTCTTGATTATTTCCTTCTTTCCCCACTATCTTTTCCTTTTTTCTTAATGTTATTGTTTCGTATTTGTTTGATCGATGGTTTTTTTTTTACTATGATTGGTAGTGTTTCTCTGGTTCTTTATGCTCTTGGTTACTTGAAAAGAATGTTTGCTGTATTCTTTTGGGAAGGGGCTAAACATACTTATTTAGGCTTGTACTCTTTGCATTAGGATGTGCTAAAACATACAATGATGTTTGTGTAATAACGTGTTCAAGGAATGGACTATGGAGGCTTCATTCTTTGGTTCTTCTGAAATAACTATGCAGTCCTTCTGATTGAACTTAGTTATAATCTTCCTGTTCATTAACTTGGTTTTATTTTTGCAGGGATGTTGGCATGGATTTTGCAACCTTAAGCAGATCATTCTGATCGGCAGTGAAATTACTTGGAAAACATCAGAGAAGGGGGTGATTGAAATTACTTTTTTTTTTTAACATCAGACAATGGAAAATTATGAAGTACTAGAGCAGATTGGCAAAGGTTCCTTTGCTTCTGCTCTACTCGTGAGGCATAGACATGAAAAGAAGAAGTAAGGAGGCTTATGTTTTTTTTACTGTTTATTTATGCCAGTTTGGTTTTTTTCACAGTTGCTTCAAGTGTTGGACCAGATCAGATTAGGTTATGTGCTTTTGTTATATTGGTTTTTCTCAGATTGATGTGTGTGTCTTTCTTACTTTGAAGGTATGTCCTCAAGAAAATCCGCCTTGCTCGCCAGACTGAGAGGACCCGCAGATCTGCCCGCCTGGAGGTCTGTGTTTTCAGAATCTTATAATTGACATATTTGAGATTTGATGTAGAAATCTAATTCTGGCAACCCTGCCTGAAATGAAGGGTGTAACTATTTATGCATGGCTGGCAACTTTTGTATTTAGTCAATACTTGTCCTGTATTGAAGCATGGTTGTTGAGCCAAATATGCTGCATTGGTTCCTTTCTGTGCAGATGGAGCTTATTTCTAAGGTGCAAAATCCATATATTGTGGAGTACAAAGATTCCTGGGTAGAAAAGGTATGTGCATATTCTTATGTGAGACAGACCATTTTACTGGTGATTTGTTTTTATTTCTTGTGATCAGGATTTCTTTAACCTGCTTACTGTATTATTGTGCAATTATCTTAGCATCTATGTCCTGTTAAATGTTCAGATGACATTTTCTGTATTTCTTACCCTTTTAAAGATTCTTTCAGTAAAAGAAAAAAATCTTTGTTGAGTCCACTGTTCTCCACCCCCTTTATTAAAGTTAGCCATATTGTAGATGAGATGGTACCTTTCAGAGGAAAAGTTGCAAATCCTGTTACTTATTATACTGTTTTTTTCCTGAAAATATAAATGGGGCTTGCTGGTTTGGCTATGCTGATGCTTTATAACCAAGGTTCTGAAATTATGGGTCAATAATGTCAAGTATTGGCTGAGAAATAATTTTTCCTAAACAATATCCACAAAAAATTGATTGTTCAGCACTAGGATCAAGCAGAAATATTCAAATGCTATGTAGTACACAGTGAATTGTAACCATGCAATACCAGTTGCATATCTGTTTTCAGAGTGTTCAAAAATAATTCTATCAAGGAGAAATATTGTAAAATATGGATGCAAAGAATATAAAATAGATTAATAGCAACCTAGTAAATTGAACCTTAGTCACGGGAAAACTATGTTCATTATTCAGACATTAATTCTTTGATTCTTTCACAAAACTGACTCACCAGTCACCCCCAACCTGGTCCTACTACGTAATGTGTGTTAACCTGCCCCTTCAATGCATCTTCAAGGGAAGCATTGAGTTGAAGTGACATGGCTGAGCCTCTGTCTTATGTGCTTATATAGTGAGGTCTACGTCAGTGTCCTTGTGTAACCGTGTGGTGAGGGTGTGTCCATATGTTTTTAGGTATAGGTTTGTGAGAAGAATTGAATTATTGTTTATTTTAAAGTGGTGAGTGCTGGCTGAGAATGTTGAGTTTAAATGGTTAAGTTCCACTGAGGTGGGTATACCTAATTTGTAATATGGCCCAACTTACACTGCTAAATACGCAACCTACTGCTTTCTGTTATCTGTTCTGTGTTGTACCAGTTGATGTTCTATTTAACATTGCTATAAACTACCAAACTCTACATTGTTGATTTTAGGAAGCATCGTTTGAGTACCGTATCTATTCGAAAGAACAACAATGCCTTTAATCCATGGTTAGAGAGGTCTGATTGCTTCAGAAGTTGCCTAAATTGTCAACATGAATGTAAAGAAAGCCAAACGAATCTCATCTTACTTATTCAAGTAATCTTTGATAGGGGTTTACTTGATATTCTGCTAGATCAGTTAAATTTGCTTCATTTTTTTCAAGTTTTTTGCTTCCTTTTGAAGCCTTAAATTTGTTTGGTATGATGTTTTGTGTCTCATAACTTCTGAGAAATCCATGTTTGAACTTGACTTGTTCTGCTGTGCCATTGACAAGTTGATGTCATGACTTTCAGGATTGCTATGTGTGCATCATTATAGGGTATTGTGAAGGAGGGGACATGTAAGTTCTGTTTCTTTGTTAAATGAGTTATTTAAAATGTGTTTTTGAAGGAATATAGACTATATAGTAGACCCAGTGTTGAAAAATTCTGTTTTCTGTCTATTGGAGCGACCTTTGCATATTGTCACCTTTTTTTCATGTAGGGCCGAAGCTATTAAAAGAGCAAATTGTGTTCATTTTCCTGAAGAGGTTGTTAGCTGGCAGTGAAGATTATGCTCTCCTTCCAATTATTGTTCTGCATATCTCCATGTTGGGAATTCCGTTTTAGTTCAAGTCATTTTTATTTCACATCTGGATGTTGAACTCTGTGCAGAAGCTTTGTAAGTGGCTAGTCCAACTCCTGATGGCGCTTGATTACCTGCACACAAACCATATTCTTCATCGTGATGTTAAGGTTAATAACATCTATTTGCACTATGTGAATGTGTAAATTACTCTCTGAATTATTAAAATCTGACCTTGCGCTGATGTTAAATCACATGCTTCAGTGTTCAAATATATTTCTGACAAAAGAGCAAGACATACGTCTAGGTAAATAATATGCAATCTTATACCTATCATCCGGAATGCTCTTCTAAGTTTTTGTGATTATGTATTGTCTAAATGTCTGAATGTTAAAGTCACTTTCACTTTTATGGTGTTGGTAGGTGATTTTGGTCTTGCTAAACTGTTGACTTCTGATGATCTTGCTTCATCGGTGAGTGGTATAGCTACAATTATGGATTTGTTTTTCATGTTTATTCTATTGCACGATCTAAGTCTGTGCCATATCTGCTTCAATTACAGGTGGTGGGTACTCCTAGTTACATGTGCCCTGAACTTCTTGCTGATATACCTTATGGTTACAAGTCGGATATCTGGTCTTTAGGTAAGTGCATTAACATTTTTGGACTTCACATATAGTGGAATTTGAGTGCATCTTTTAGCTGGCTATCCAGTGTATATTTTGACAAATACAATATCCAGGATGCTGTATATATGAAATGACTGCTCACAGGCCAGCCTTCAAAGCTTTCGTAAGTTAGCTGTTTGCAATTTGTAAAGTTATGAATTGCTATATCATCACTTGGATATCGCTATGTGACCTTATGAATTTGAAGTCCCTATTTTAGTTACGCCTAACTGTTAATTTTGTTTGTTACTGTGTACAAAACTTTATTGCTATTAGAGAATTCATTTATGAAGTCATTATTAGGGTTTGTGTCTCTCCTTTAAAAAATATTAATTTACTTTTATGGATCTGGTGATTGTCGCAAATCACATTTTCCTGGTTTCTTCTTAGAGACAATGTTTGTCAGGTTTAAAGCTGAGTATGTATAATGGTAGAAGTTTGTGGACTCAAAACAATATTGACTTGTGAGACATCGATTCTTAAAATTCCAGAACTAAACTTGCCCTCGTGGAAATGAAGTCATTAAGCTTTATTTAGCATCTCAGTTTTATGAACCGCTCACATGAGTCTCTCACCTTTACGGGGTTTGAGGAGAGCTAGATGTACAGTCTTATCGTGCAAATGGGGAGAGTGTTTTTGTGGCTCACACCTGTAATGCCCATGTGTCAAAAATACTCCATAACTTGTATGAATTGGGAACAGATTTGCAACTTACGATGCCTAATATTGAGTTGGTTCCCACTAGCCACCATACTTGTGTACATGCCACCCTTGCTTGTTGATTGATAGAATGAACAATGGTATGGTTCCAAACCTAGACCTGTCTAAAAAAAAAGGTCAAGTGAAGAGGAAGATGCACTGATCTGAGAGTAGATGTGAAGTTCAATAACAATGGTTCTCACCTTTCTCGCAATCTTTTTTTGCCATGTGTCTCATTTTTATCATCATGTGGATTATACTTTGGTGTGGTCCATTTACAATAATGTTTTTTGCGGCTGATTTTTTCTTTGTGAGCAGGATATTCAAGCTTTGATCAACAAAATAAACAAGTCCATAGTTGCTCCACTTCCGACAATGTATTCTGGTGCATAGTGAGTCCCTTATCTTTGGCATACACATAAAAGTTGCAAGATTCTGTAGTGATAAATTGTCCCACTTGTATAATCTCCAGCCAAAAATAACTCATTCTGCTGATCTGCTTATTTAACTCTCTCTTTTCCAGTCGAGGGCTTGTTAAGACTATGCTGCGGAAAAATCCAGAACTTAGACCCAGTGTATGCAATATTCTTTATCTTTTCCTTTTCTATGATCATTCAAAGAATTGTTTGAAGGACTTGACTACTGGTGTTTTTGCCAAAAAAATATTCCGGACAAATATCTATCTTCCTGATGCCCTTATTGACATAACTTCCTGTAATTACGTGTTGCTGGCAAATTTCTTTTGTGATGGCATGATAAAGGCTCTCAGCCAGTATCATCAAAGAGACCCGACCCTCTAATAGGTGCTTAATAGGATATTCTCCAAATAGGAGCTCCTGGGCATGTCTTCTGGCTGTTCATGTGCAATATACATTTATGGATTGGGCATCTTCATTGAATGCTGTAATTTATTGAAATTTTGCGTACTTAGGCTATTGCCAAACTTTTTTTCCCACTTACATTGGAGAAAAATTATCTTCCAGATGAAGACATAATTAACTTTAGCATGACTAAGCCACCTGAACAAATCTTCTAAGCTGACTGTTGAAATACTTTCAACTGGTCCCTTCATACTGTGATGAATGCAAGAACATATTCAACTGTTTGACTTCAACAAAATTTAGACCTCACTCATGTTCATATCGTATTGCAAATGCTTGATATTAGGTTGAAGATTTGTACAATGCCCAATGTTTCCATAAGAAATTGATGCAAATGATATGTCTCAACCTTGTTGCTGTGGCTTTGTTCTCCCTTCTGATGTTTATCTCTGTATTTGCCAGGCAGCAGATTTGCTCAGGCACCCACATCTTCAGCCCTACGTCCTCAACATCCATCTCAACTTCAACAGCCCTAGACGGCATACTTTCCCAATCCAATGGCGTGATTCCAACTATGTAAAGAAAACTAGATTTCTCGAGTCTGAGGCTGTTACCGTGTTTACTGAGCGAGAGAAAACAAGATCATTTAGCAATGACAGGTTCCTGAACCCTAGCACATCTGAAACTGAACAGGACTCGCTGTGTTCTCCCCAAAGAGCACATGATTTTCAAAGCTCTTTGAATAAGAGGTTCTCTGAGTTGTCTGTTGGCAGCGTCAGTGAAGATATAGGTTTTGAGAAGTTAGTGTCCACAAAACTGTCAAATGTTGCCAAAGCTTCAAGATTGACTCCATCAAAATCTTCTTCTACTCCAAGGAGGCAGACAGCTTCATCAAAGATATCCAACGTTGGTGCAACTCGAGATTTGGTAAGTTAAAATAAGTGATGGATATATGTTATATAAATTGACCTCTCCGTTTCCTAATATATTGATGTTAAACTAGGAAAAACATAAATCCTCTTGGTGTTTCGTTGTCTCTTTCCTTTTGTCTTTGTTTTTTCTGGGTGGTTGGTTAAATATTTATCCACCCGCAAGTCTTTGAAGTTTGGCCTATTTTTGCTAATCGTGGCTTGCAATAAGTGATTGGAGACACCACTTACCTGCTTGCTTAAATTTTATGTGACTGGATGATCACAAGGCATCCCATTATACACTGTTGTTTTAACCAGAGTTTTTTTTACTTCTTTGAGTGAGATTCTGAAGTCGCAAACTTTTAAGCCCATTTTATAGTGGGTCATGCACAACTTTTTGAGTGCAAAGGCATTAGATATTGTGTATTAGAATCCATGCCATGTCTTTGTAAATTGGCTGCGAAACTAATTTTTTGGGTTTTGACAGCTGTTAGGGCTAGTGTGTAATGATCAACTTCTGGCATTTTTTCTTTATGTATGCAGCTTTCAGTCTCGCGTACTCCAGCTAGCAAAACTTTCCGATCAACACGCAGAGCATCTCTTCCATTGTCAAAGGAAGTTGTGACACTGGAATCACCTTATAGATCCAGTGTCGGTCTCCTCTGCAGGGTTGAGTCTCCAGATGTTTCTGTCAATGCTCCACAAATTGATAAAATAACCGAATTCCCCATACCCTCTTCTGAAGATCGCCTCTTGCCCATCCGTCGAACATCATCAACATCTGTGCAATGCTCTTCCAGTTCAACAAACAGTGCGGACCGCTCAATCACAAAAGACAAGTGTACAGTTCAAGTTCTGGACAGAACTACTGCCAGACCGCGTGTTGCTGATGCTGATAAGAAAGTTGGACCGAATGAAAGTGAATGCTCAGAGCAGAATGCAACCATTGGCATTTCAAGCCGTTTGTCATCAGATTCTCGGCAGCGTAGGTTCGACACTTCATCGTACCAACAACGTGCGGAGGCATTAGAAGGGTTGCTTGAGTTCAGTGCTCAACTCATGCAGCAAGAACGGCTTGAAGAGCTCGCAGTGTTATTGAAGCCGTTTGGGCCTGGGAAGGTGTCTCCCAGGGAAACTGCTATTTGGCTGACAAAGAGCTTCAAGGAGACTGTTGTCAAGCCTGAAGCTTAGTATCATGTGATTTTTCCCACTTTTAAACTACCACTAGTGTTGATGGTACTGTGCTGCATTGCTTGGAGATTAGCTTCACTGACATGTTGAGTGGAATTGTCCTGTCATTGGAGGGGTCAGATGCTAATTTTAGCAATCTTGTCTCACTAATATCTCGTAAGTGGAGTATCAAATGTAAGCATGCATGCTTACTTCTAGTTAACACAACTTGTGTGTTTTAAACCTGCGATGTCTTGGTCATAATGACATAACTTTTTGAAACAATTTGCATAAGTAGCATCATACACTAAATTGGCTATAATATTTGTTTTTTTCTTCTTGCTTAGCATTCATTCACTATTAATGAGTTTGGGGTCTGTTTAAATGAGATAGATTCTACTTGAATATACAATTGAGAGGGTCCTCAAAAAAAATATATTAGAGAGATCTCATTCCATCTGTTATAGTTTTTTTTTTTTTTTTTTTTTTTCTGTCTGGTCAGGCACTAATGTAAGGGAAGAGGACGACGAGATTTACACTCAAGTTGTTAAAAGTCTAATAACGAAAAGCGGTGGTCATTTCATCAACTGTTAACTCTCATTCTACATAGTTTACAGTTTGTTTTCTTTAGATGAATGAGACGACGTCGGTTGAAGAATTTCAGAAGAAACGTCGTCGTCTTGTGCACTTGGGGCCGGGCTGTGTATAGAAAACTTGACTTTAACACTTTTGAACCTGGCGAGGTCGTTCCTTTCCCCGCTGGAGAAAACACCTGTGACTTCCATGGAGTTGAAGACGAGTGCGATGGAAGAAGGAGGAATTCTTCTACAACTCTACGAACTCGAATACTCTGATCTGATGTTCTTGTCGTCAGATCAAGCTTCTTCATCTTCATTATCACCGCAAGAGATGGGACGTATGGAATCGATTACCAGAACTGTAATGGAAAACCTAGGGCCTACAGGACCTGGTCTGTTAGCAATCACTGGGGTCCCCAACGCATCCAATCTTCGCCGAAAGCTTCTTCCACTGGCCCGCAAGCTCGCACTTCTCAGCAATGAAGATCGTAAACGCGTTCTCAAGGTGAGGCGTTCTTTAACCTTCACTCCCTTTGGTTGCTGAGAAAAAATTAAGAGAATAGAATACGAACAGAGAAAAGTGGTGAAATGTTTGCATTAGTTTAATATGCTTTCTGTTAAAAATTTAGAAAAAAGAAATTAACCACTGAAAAGGAAGAGCAAATTCGTGTTTACATCAATTAAGGTAATTGGGGTTTACATTTTCAAAAGTTTATTTTTGGGTGGGAAAGATCGAATGATTTCAAATGCTAGGTCTAAGATTATCCCTGTTTGGTTATTGATGAACATCGTTGGATGGGGGTCGGAAAGGAATGGTACTAGACATCTTATTTTGGGTGGTTGTGGTGTTATTGTTTTCAGGGCCTGTTCCCTCGTTTGCCATATTAGCTAGCACATTGAATTTTTGTTTTCAAGCTATTTTGCTGTTGACACTTGTTGTAGGAGCACAGTTTGGGGAGTGATGTTCCATTGAAGAATCTAGATAGATCTGTCTCATCCTTTGCAATGCAGTTGAAGTATGTGCAAGCAGCCAAGTGCACCGAAGGCAAGGGAAGTCATGTAGGAGTCGACAGTCACAACATGCAGCAAGTTTCTCCTGATGCTGAGAAGCTGGGAGAGATGCAGGATAGTGAATTTAGGGATCTCAGGAACACATTTAAGGAGCTAGGATTTTGCATGATAGAGGTTGGGCTTGGCCTTGCAAGAATATGTGATAGGGTTATTGGTGGCCGAGAGATAGAGCAAAGCTTGTTGGAGTCGTGCACTGCAAAAGGGCGTCTCATACATTATCATTCACCTTTGGATAACTTTATTATGAAAGAAACCACTAGAAAAAGGGGATCCACCAAAGTATGGCCTAATGGATCTACAGAAGCAGAACGGTCCATGAGGAACGAGCAATCAAATTTCAAAGAAAGTGGAAGCAAATCATGTGGAAGTCGGTCTAATCTATGGCAGCAGTGGCATTATGACTATGGTATTTTCACGGTCCTGACAGCACCAATGTTTATTCTGCCATGTCATCCACAAACATCAAGAACCAAGGATTCACCTTGTGATCAAATATGTCCATACCCTGGTGGGAGCACATATTTGCAAATATTTGATCCCAACAAGAATATTGTTCTCACCGTTAAGGCATCTCCTGAATGTTTCATTGTTCAGGTGGGGGAATCAGCTGATATATTGTCAAAGGGGAAGCTTCGATCGACCCTTCATTGTGTTTGCAGGCATGAAAATCTGGAAAACTTAAGCAGGGAAACTTTTGTTGTCTTCTTGCAGCCTGCATGGAGCAAAACTCTCTCTCTCTCTGATCACCCCATTGAACACTTTCCTTCAAGCTGTCAGCATTCTGGAGTTTGGACCAAGGAAACCGAGAGTGCTGAGAAGGAACTTGGAAAAACGATAGATATACATAAAATAGTCCCATCGCTTTCGTCGCGGTTAAAGGATGAGATGACATTTGCAGAATTTTCGCGGGAAACTACAAGACAGTACTATGGTCCAAGTGGTTTTCAGCCAAACAGATCGTAAGATCTTCTTTTCTTGTAAGACTCTACTATGGTGCAAGTGGTTCTTTCATCTTTGTTCATTTCATTAATCAATCTCCCAGCAGCATCCCTTCACATGCAATTTGATACTTGAAACAGTTCGCATTTGTGACTGCTGTAGCGAGGGGACCTCCATATTGCCCTGCGAATAAACCGTCAACTTTCCAAGACTGATTGGTAATTGGTTACAGTTTGAGGGGAATGGGCCCTTTTGTCATGTTGAAGGCTGCATGTGAATAACCTGAAGGGGATTGAAGTTGTCCTGTGGGTTTACGACTCACATTAGTTGGCTCGTGGTTCTAATGCCCTCTCTTGCACATTGCTGAGTTAACATTGTAAATTTAAAGATTAGATGCTTAACGTTCATAGCACTCCATTTTCTAGCGGTATCACTCCAGTGTTCAAACAAGTGCAAGAAACCTTCACCCATATCAAATTGCATGGGAAGGGATGCTGATGGAATATCGATTTCTGCTGGTAGCCTAATCATTTTGTTATGGTTACTATCCTCTTTGTCCATATTGTCCTGTGAAGACACGATAAACCTTCAAAGACTGATTAGTAATTGGTTACAGTTTGAGGGGAATGGGGCCCTTTGTGGAGATGAAGGCTGCATGTGAATACCGGAATTGAAGTCTCCTACTGGTTTAGGTCTAAAATTGGTTGGGTCATTGTTTTGCCATTTTCTGGCTGTGGAAAATGGTGAAGGCTTCTTCCACTTGTTTGGAGCCTACAGTGATGCAGCTAGATTTTTTCTGACATATTGAAGGAATAATTTCTGAAGCTCCTGCTTTAGTCGATTGGGATTTAACTATTGAAGGTAGATTCTGCACATGAAAGTTGATGGTCTCTTCAAGATGAGATGCCCTGCAGCATCCTACGAGGAGAATCTGATTTGTCTACCGGCAGACTTTTTAGTTAGTGTGATACTGCCACAATTGAATTATATCCTTTCTTCAGCTAGATCAAGATCAGTCTTCATGTTCTCCTCGATGCCTCCACCTTTACATTGCAGAAGACCATTTGGTCTTACCAGTGAGACTTCTATGATCAGTCCCAATCACCATGTAAAAGCGTTGTGTTTCAGTCACAAGTTTGGTTATAGTTTTGTTTGTTTATATGTTGTATGATGGATTGGAAGACAAATCCATCCTTGCACGAGGGAGAAAGAGAGATGAATGTGCAAAATCACTTCATTTCAAGCACACAATTCTGGCAGCAATGTATACTCTAAACCTGTGACAGAACCGCACTTCATTTCAATTTAAGCATACAATTCTGGCATCAATGTATTAGTCTAAACTTGTGATAGAACAGGAAGAGATCACTACTTAATGTACTCCACGATATTTCAGCAAAGCAGGGAAGGAAATAAAGTGGAAAACAATTTAAAGAAGAATACACATATATCTCTCAAGTATCAGCAGCTCGGAAAATGGTCAACAGTGAAAGGAAGAGGTTGATGATGTCCAAATACAGGGAAACAGAAGCCCAAATGTACTCATCGTATGAGTAGCGCTTGATCAGATTGTCGGTATCATATACAATGTAACCACTGAATATTATTGCAGCCAAACACCCATAGATCATCGTCGAGATCTTTCCCATTGGAAAGAAAATCTGCAACAAAACAATGATAAGCACAAAAGTCATATCCATTTGACATGCGAAGTCAGAGACAAACACAAAAAGAAAAATGAAAAAATCTAAGTGCAGAAGGAAGAAGCCTCGCACCTGAATCAAGGAAAATATCATGAGGGAAATAACAGCACCAAACAGAAAGGGCCCTAGGAAGTTGAAATCGTAGCCTTTCCTTGCCGCCCAGAATGTGTACAAAGTGAGACTGATGACCACCACAGCTGTAAGAATAGCAGCTTCCAAGATAACCGTCCCTGTAGCCAATACAAGTTACACGGATGCTGAAACTCAAAAAATTCCACAAATAATCAAAATATACATACATATATATCTGCTTCCAGTGAAGAACAAAACTCCACAAAAAGAATCCAAAATTTTGTGAGAGGTAGCAAGTTCGTTGATAACTTCTACTGTCATATGGTCAATATCACTGAAGAAAATAGCACTGATCTATTCAGCTGCCCTTTGTCATGTAAGTTGGGAATTTGTGTGTATGATTCTGTGTATGCTTTATCAAAAAAAAAAATAGCACCGATAGTGCCAAGATCCTAGTATACTTCACTACATTACTTCTCACTAGTCAACTACATTCTAAACAACAACGAATGCCCAATACTACACCCCTGACAAAACTATTGTCTATCAATCGGTTGGTCTCAACCTACATCTGATGAAAGGGACGCAAAATTAAAGCATAGAACAAGAACAGAGAAGAAATAGGGAAGTCCGAAGTGAAATAGTTCCCTAAACTCTATGAAACTAAAGCAAAAACAAGTAATTCCCAATTTCACTCATCATTTTTGCTATCATTCCTCTCAAAAAAAATCCTATTCCCACCCAAGACCACAATAGGTATACATACACAACATAGCTAAACATAGGGTAAATACACAAAGGACACAGTGGACTTGGTCCCAATTCCAAGCCCACACCAGCAAAATTAAAGGGTAACTTGTTGAAATTCCGTTCATGAATTCTAGGGATCTCACAACTTCATCAATGTTAAGTTTGCAATTGATGTTCTCTTAAACAAGAAACTTCACCTCATGGTCAAATTTTACTTTCCATAAATGCCCCAAAATTAGTTTTTTTTTCTTTATTTAATCTCTTTTGAACATGGAAGAACGCGAGATTAAGGAAATGGTTCCAAATTAGTTCAATCAACACAAAACTTAGGTCCTTCTTAATCAATCACCACACACCATGGAGTTAAAAAAAAGGAAAGAGTGAATAAAATTAGATTGCTTACCGCTGGTAAAAGCGCAAGTCAATCCAACTGCGAAAGCAAGAGTCACCGTGAAAATCCCAAGGAGGAGGAAATTCACCGGATGACGCTGGTAATAGTAATACAACGGTATCAACACTGCATACAAACAATGTCAAACCCCAAAATTATGAAAAATCACAGGAAAAAATAAATAATAAAAAATTAGTGTTAAAATATTCTGAAGACAAAAACGGAGAAATTGATTATGAGAATACCGATGATTGGAGTAACGATGAGAACAATGTAGAGAACTAAGCCGGCAGTGGTGGTGACGAAGAAGATTGTTATCGGAGTGACATAGACGACCATAGCACCCACAGCGATGGTGAGAACCAATTGAAGGGCCACTATGGAGTAAATCTTGCGAATGAAAGCCCACCGAAGTTCCGGACTCTCCATCATCGTCGGGTACAGCGGTTGGCTCGCCGATTCCAGGTCATTTTTCCGATTCGGTTGTAGCCACATCTTCAAGAAATTAATTAAACAATCAAGTTAAAGTATGAACAGAGTTAGGGTTAGGGATAGGGTTTGATTGTCGATTGATTGCAAAGCAGAGACTTCGATCGAATTCACAAGGTTTTTTATAGAAAGAGCAGAGAAAAAAAAGTTTGTTGGGGGAGGGGAACTAAAACCTGTTCTATTGTGCGAGTGCGAAGGAATTGGATTGGATTGGATAGTTAAAAGGCGGTGAGGAGATGGGTTGTTGTTTGACAATTTGACTCCAAAGATTATTCGTGTAACCGGACACGGATATAACCCGTCGAGTCCCCTACCTACTCGAACGTTCCAGTCTTCTCAGGATTGACGTAGTGGTTTTTCCCTACTTTTTGTGCGGTAAAGAGGCCCTTCGACCTGAAAAATATTGGGCGAAACGGTGACATTATGTTGGTATAATCGTCATTATAACAATGTAGTGTCATTATTTAATAAAAACATAATAATTCAGTAAATAATTTCCACATATTTTTAAGTCATTTGATAACCACCTTATGTATGAAAATAACTATTAAACTTGGCCCAAAAATGATTCCGTTGGAGGGGTGTAATCTTTAAAAAAAAAAACGAAGGAAAAAGGTATCTATTACTTAGTATGTATACCAAAACCTCTAATCTCAGCTCCTGTGAATGGCTTCTTTATGTTTAAAACTCCTTCAAAGGCATGTACTCAACGGCGATTGCTTCTTCTGCACACAAATTCAGGCCGATGATATTGAAAACGAAACGAAAAATCATTAAAAAAATTCTATTTAAAATAGAATGGGAATAACAATTGGTTTTAAAACATATTAGGAAATAGTACCCTACCCCCTTTTATTATTGTATTTTTTATCACCAACGTAGGCTGTTGAGTTGAATCATGTATCACTCGTGTTTTGGGATTTTTTTTAATATAATTTTTATTTTGGATAAATTACACTTATACCCCCTTAACAATCACTTTTTTCAACTGCCAGATTTCTCACATTGTTTCACATTGTCCCTATCACAAACGTCTGTTATTTTTTTAGACAAAAATCATTAACATATTTGAGTAAAGTGAAAAAAATTATATAATTTAGGGAAAAAAATGAAATATTTTTTTTGTTAAATATGTGTAGTACATTAATAATTAAGGCAATATAAAATTAATCAAATAGTTAAAAATATAATATGAGAAATTTAATAATTGAGAGGAAAAAATAGAAAAAGGATAATAATTTGGAAGTGTTAGTGTAATTTACAACCCTTTTACTAACTTTGTCCTCAACTAATATAATGATGCTGTCTAACTATTGTATTTTTATTTTATTTTTTGGTCAGAATCTTAACTATTGCGTGAAAATTTTGTTTTTAGTTCTAATTTAGATATCCTGATTTTGAATTTTGACAATATTTTAAATTTAGGTCATGAAAAATTTATCTCTCATAAATCTATTAGTCCTAACGTGAATGTCTTATCTTTGATCAGATCAAAAAGGGATTAGTCGAGGTGTACACGAGTTAGTTTGAACACTCCTGACTATTAAACCAAAAATTAAAAAAAATATAACACGCGTAACATCAGTCCACAAGTATATTAGTGGGAGAAAATTACTCGAACATCTATGCAACACAGTGATACAATTTTCGAAATAGTTGGACGAGAAAAATGCTGTTTGAACACACTTTGAGAATCTAATCTGAAACTTGATTAATTATAGTTATGTGGTTGAAAGTGAATTTCACCTAACATTAAAATTTATAATTAATTTAATAAGTATATTAAATTAAATCTCTAATATTTTCTAAAATTAGTATCCCAAACCCAGGAAGGTGATTGGTATACTAAATTTATCCGATCATCTTTCTTCGTTCGAGAACCAAGATTTGAGGTATCATTTAGAATCCAAAGCATTATTGCTGCAACATACCCCAACATCTAATCCATATATACTTCTCTCCCATATCCGGGCCAACCTGTAGGAGTTAATCTATAGGGCTCCCACTTTGTATTAAATCATATTATTGACCTAGAGTTTGGTTTATATGATTATCACATTTCAATTATTTCCATCGAATGATCTGCAATTAGACCATCCCAACGCAAGCTTTTTAAGCCCCTAAGAGTATCTCCAACCCGCTTCATTTTTTCTTTTTTAGTTAGTTTAGCTAGCTAAACATAAAAAATATCTACCGCCCACTTTTTATCCCACTCTCTATTTCCCATTTCACTCAAATGACTCTCCACAAAGTCAAATGTGGAGAGTCATTTAACCTCTCTAAATTCTCTTTCTACCCCTTTCTCTTTTTATCTCTTTATATATATGTTTATATTTTTTAAAAATTATTAAAATTAGTAAAAATTTGGTGAAATAGTTAATTAAAATAGAAAGTGTAGTTTGAATAAATTTGTAAAAATAACTAACTAAAATAGAGAATGTAATATTTAAATAAAGGAGTCGATAAATTCTGACAATTAGACTTAGACGCGTGACAGGTTGCACGTGCTGAAAAGAGTTATTTGCAATGACTCTACTACGATCGAGCTAAAGTTGATCTGGGTCGAGCAGAGCAAATAGCTAGGCCATTCGGGCCGAACAATGCAAGTAACTAGACTATCCGGGCCAAGCAGAGCAAGTAGCTAGGCTATCTAGCCAAACAGAGCAAATAGTTAGGCTATCCGGCCGAGCAGAGCAAGAAGTTAGGTCATCCGGCCGAATAGAGCAAGTAGTTAGGCTATCCGGCCAAGCAAAGCAAATAGATAGGCCATCCGACCGAGTAGAACAAATAGCTAGGCCATTCGGCCGAGCAGAGTAAGTAGTTAGGCTATCCAGCTAGACAGAGCAAACAGCTAAGCCATCCGGGGCCGAGCAGAGCAAGTAGCTAGGCTATCCGGCCGAGCTAAAATAGGTCCGACTTAGTAGCTAATAAACTTCGATCGAACAGACACCTAGGTTGTTCCGACCGAGCAGAGGATGAGATCCGACCAAGTTGTCATCAAATAGTAATCCGATTTGATCAGAAAGCTAGAAAAGGAAGGAATGTGTTCGATCCTCGTCACGGTTGAGCTGTTTAAAACACTAACGTGGTGTTAAAAAGATGCCTACAATTCAGGCATTCTGGCTAAATGAATTGACAAAATTATAAGCTTGACAGGAGGAATTGCTAGAGAGATATCAGCAACTTCCCAACTAGAGCCGCCTAATTGGAGAAAAGTGTGTCACCTTCAATCGAAATTCATGAAAACCCTAACTGAACAGTGTCTATAAAAACCAAAAATGAGTCAAGATGAAAGATACACTGAACTCTCCTTGTCTTCTTACAATTGTCTCAGCTCCATTACTAACTTAAGCATCGGAGTGCCTTCGATCGAAGCACTTCGATCTTAGACAGTTTGTTTGTTTGCAGAAAGCAAAAACTAGGAAATCAAGTTCAGAAATATTCATGACCAGAAATATCAAATTCAAATCTTTAGTGAGAGGTATCCTTAATTTTTACCCCTTACAATAAATAAATTTTTAATTATCTATTTTGGAGAGCTGGGTTGGAGATGCTCAAACATTCTCTTTTGAGCCTCGTCTCAAGTTTAAACTCAAAGTGATAAGTACTCATGATGCACAAAAGTATTTATGCAAAATCAATCAATAGATGAAGTAATAAGAGCTAAACACATGCAAACACAAAAATTAGGTGAATTTTGTATGGATGACCTACTCTATTGGGAAGAGTTATGGTGAGCGGAGAATCTTATTGCTCAAAAGTGTAAGGGTACTAAGATGTGTGTGATGTCCTCTATGTGTAGGTAAGATTTATAATTTATAGACAAGTAAAGTTAGCTTTGAGGGCCTCTGATTGAAGCGTCATCTTCGTAACTGAGTCCATGAAACTTTCATTATTCTTGTAACGGGCGAGGGGATAGCAGGGTGATCCATTTTAGGTTGCATTATCTCGTAATGGGTGTGGTGATCTCACAAGATTGGCAAAGTACTACCGATCAATGTTATCAAAATCGGACCAGCCATTGAACCGACAAGAGGACCAAGTCAATAGTTCACTAATTCAATCATTGGGTCAACTGCTTGAACTGGTCATATAATAAAATAAATAAATATATGTATAATAATTACAAAAATAATAATTTAACTAAAAAAATGTAAAATATGACTACAAAGCCTACAACACCTATGCCAAATATCAGACTGGTCCTAGATTAAAATTTTAAAAATAGATATAATGCACATCCACTCTCTCTCAAAAAGAGAATCTCATTGTATTCGAAGCACCCGTGGGCAGTGTGTGTGTGTGACAAAGAGAGGGAGAAAGAGAGAAAGACTTATCGAGTGAGAGAGAGCTTCTAGAAGAGGAGTTTCGTTCTCATCAAAGTGAGCAGAGAATTTTTTTTCAGCCTCCTAGAGTCCCTGGCCTTCTCGCTTTCTCACCTTCTCTTCATCGCTTGAGAGGTCCCCAAAGTGCTGAGTCTCATTGCCTGAGTGGTGGGTTCTCGTCGAAGTGAGCAGAGGGATTTTTTTCAGCCTTCCTGAGTCCCTAGGCTTCTTGCCTTCTTTTTCTCGCTTGAGAGGTCGCCGGAGTGTTGAGTTTCATTGCCTAAGATGTGAGGTCTGAGTAATGGGTGAGTGGCCACTGAGTTGTGAACATGATTGCTTTAGGACAAATGACCCAAAAAAATGATTTTTCTTTTATATAACTCTTGAAATTCAAACCGTCCGATTACGAGTTTGGTCAAAAATCAGCTGGTTTAACGGTTCACGCACACTTTGCTTTCTTGTGCAGTCTAATTACAGAACGGATCCGATCTAAGTTCCGGTTTATGGTCTAACCGATTTAATTAATCGATCCAGTTTTAATAACACTGTTATCATTGACCGCCTCCCCACAAATTCCCTCTTCTCAATATAGATTTCCACGTGCGCCGACGATAGATTAGATCTCTCAAGCAGTTGGGCTTAACGCAACTAAAATTATAAGTCTTTGTCATTTATAATCTA